GACATTTTTTTCCAACGAGTGATTCTTCTTTGTTTCCAAATTTCACATTCTATTCACCTCTAATAACCAATACATCTTGGTTACATGTTTGGTCAATTTCAGACTGCAGAAATTGGTAATCTTCAATTTCCTCATCTTTGGCTTTAGTGGTAAGTGCATAAGTTTGAATAATAGTGGCATTAACGAGTCTTCCTTGTAGGCATATGGATATTATCCCATCACTGACATCATTGTCATTTCGATTTGTTATTCCCGACATAGTTGGTCATATGATTGTTTGATTCAAAATTGCCAGAACCAGTTCATTTCAGCTCACTAATGCCTAAGATATCAATCTTTATGTATTCCATTTCATTTTTGACAACTTCCAATTTTCCTAGATTCATATTTTGTATATTCTGTATTCTGATTATTAATAGATGTTTGTAGCTGTTTCTTCCCATTTTGAGTTGTGCCACATCAGCAAATGGAGGTCCCGGAAGCTTCACTCCATCCACATCATTAAGGTCGACTCTACCTTCAGGAGGCAGCTCTTTCTCAGTTGTATTTTGAATTCCTTCTGGCCTGTGTGGCTCGTTTTCTGGCACTAGATCAGACAGTGTTTCAGGGCTATTCATAAAGTGTTCCAGTAAATATATCAGACAGTGTTTCACTATTCATAAGGTTTTCACTGGCCAATTCTTTGAGGAGTCGATGTCCCCTTCCTTCTTCCAAGTCTATCTTATTCTGGAAGCTCCACTGAAACCTGTCCACCATGGGCGACCCTGCTGGTATTTGGAATACTGGTGGCGTACCCTCCAGCCTCACAACAACACACAAGCCACCACAGTATATGACAAAGTGACAGACGAGTGGTGGGAGTAGTCATCTAACATTTCTTTAAATACTTACAATGATAGGCAGCTTACTCTGTAAGATGATGACCAGAGTCACTATTTGCTACACAAATCTCCCAAGTCCTATCTATTAACAATTAACATCTAATAAATACTGAGACTAGATTTGGTGCTAGACACTGACATAATTACTTTTTCATGCTCATGTTATCCTACAAATAGCTATGGTGGCTGATCTTTTACAGATATTAAATGCAGTGGGTTTAAATACTCTGCGCAGGGTGTCATAGCCACTGGTCTTAGGATGGGGATCAAAACCAGTCATATCTTTATTCGGTGCCTGTCATGCCTTATCCATTCTGAAAACTTAGTGGAAAACTTCCATTATCGTAGCATCAGGATATATTACTGCCTAGGTACTGCTGTATTTGTACTTATAATTGCATTTGCCATATTATATTTGCACATGGACACATTTGCTGCACAAAATGTGCTAATTTCCTAATCATTTCTGTTTATTTTCGGAAGCAATCTAGGTAGTTAATCAATTTAGAGAAATAACTGCAAGTCAAGTTTTAAAATTGATTTTGATTAAATATTTATTAATACAGCCATTAGTTTGCCTTTAAAGGAAGACATTTCACAAACATGCTTATCATATCTAACCATTACAATTAATTTCCCAAATTATAATCAATAATCTTCACAATTAGTGGCATTTTACATAAATATTATAATAGTACTGTTAAGCATGGTGCCATATAATTAACACCAAACTGAAGGTACATGCAAAATTAGGTACCATGTGCTCTAGAACATTGATAGGAAGTTTGATAAGTAAGTGATTTTAAGTAATTAGACCATTAATAGGTTTTGGCTTACTCATTCTCTTTACAGTAAGCTATAAAAGTTATTGTTAAATGTTCTAGGATCTTTGGCTTCTATATTAGCTAAATTAAGGCTGTGCTGGCATTATTCTTGTTGACAAAGTACAGTCAACACTAATACGATTACTGCAGTGGGGTGATAGAAACATGCCATCAGTGGAGAAACTTTCAGAGACTGGGACTGTGACAATGTCACATCACACCCCATTCCCTTAACTGCTGCTTCCACATCTGGATAAACCACTGGCCCTCTCCTTGGCCACTGCAGACTGACTTCTCAGTATGCACACTCTTCTCAGCCACTGCCAGCTTCTGCTCTTCTAAGTGAGCTTTCTTGGTTAAGTTGTGGGAGATGACCTTCTGAGATTCCTGGTTCCTAATCTGTTTGTTGCTGGACTCTGTCTGCCCTTAGGGACCCTGTCCCTGGACTACTGACCAACATTTCAGAGGTTACACTAGTTTTCTTCATTCTGACTCAAGAGCTCATATACTCAGAGAGCTGATGATACACAAATTAATTTTTCCTTTCCTTTTTGTGGAAATGTCATTGTGCCAACTTAATTTTAGTATCTTTTGAATTCTCCACTCTCATTTTCATCTAGAAAACCTCTATCACAGTTCAGGCTTCCATTGGTTCCTCTATATGGACTCTTGAAAGAAATAACTCCTATTGCATTCCTCAGGAGCTTTGATGGCACAGTGGTTAAGACATTTGGCTGCTAACCAAAATGTCAGTGATTTGAACCCATCAGCCTCTCTGTGGGAGAAAGATAATGCAGTCTGCTTCTCTAAAGATTTATAGCCTTGGAAACATTATGGGGCAGTTCTTCTCTGTGTTATGGGGTCATTATGAGTTGGAATTGACTCAATGGTAGTGGGTCCTGTTTGGTTTTATTGCACTCCTTTGGAGCCCCTGAATGGTGCAAATCATTAACACACTTGGCTGCTGACCCAAATGCCAGGAGTTTGAGTCCACCCAGAGACACCTTGGAAGAAAGCCCTGGAGATCTACTTCGGATATATTAGCCACTGAAGATTCTATGGAGCAGTTCTACTCCAACAAACATGGATGGGGTTGCCATGAGCCCACATGACTTGAGGGCAGCTGCTTTTTACTGCACTCCTTGCTCCCAGGAACACAGATCTGATACATTAATTTCCATGCTTACAATTCTTCTATGATTCTGTCTGTTACTTAGGGCTGCTATAACAGAACCACAGTGAATGACTTTGAAAAATGGAAGTGCATTTGCTCACAATTCTGGAGACTGAAAGTCCGAATAAGGGTCTCAGATGTGTTGACTCTTTCTGCAAGCCTCTGTCCTGGTATCTCATGACTGGTGGTAATCCTTGGTATTCCTTTCCTTGTAGGAAATCCTCACATAGCATCATTCCCCACCCCCCATATATCTCTTTTTGTTTATTCTGCTGCTTTTATAACTCAGAGCGATTTAGTTTAGAACCCATCCTACATTGGTATGACCTTGCTAACACAACAGAAAAAAAACCCTCTTCCCAAACAGGATCATATTCTCAGCTACAGGGGTCAGGATTTCAATACATTGTTTAGAGGGACCCAGTTCAATCCATCACAGGCTCCTCCTCCTGTCTTCTACAAGATAGCCCAACCTTCTTAGGTCCTGCATAAGACTTCCCAGGATCTGACTTGTGCCTACTTGCCCAGACTCACCTGTTGGGCATCCTTTTTGTATTCCATCTCCTAGGTGATTTAAAAACACTTGCTTTATTTCCAGGCCTCATCCATTCTATTCTGCCTCTGCCTCAGTCCCCACTCCTTCCCATCCCTGAGCTCTTATTCTCTTGACCAACTCCTGCGTATCTTTCAAAGTTAGCTGATCAACTCCATTGGGCTGCCTTCCCTGATACACCTCTTCTACTGTTCTGAGCACCTCTCTTGCTGATCCCATTCCATCATCTGCTTTTCTTTATCACGACACTCCTGTAATTTTTGTTTGTGTAGGATGAATCATCCCCAACTCCCAATAAGGTGTATCCCCCTCATTACCTCCCTTGCATTATACACATCTTGAAGAGAGAAATGAGAATTGTAAAGTAAAATGAGGAATAATTTTATTCATCTGGAAATGACCAACCACTTACATACAGAATATAAACAAATAGATGAGTTATACCTTATATCCACAGTTTTCCTAACAAAAATAAAAGGCGTCAGTCTTCTTAGCTCATGAGAGTTAGTATTGGTTATTCTTCCAACATTTAGATTTAAATGTATTATTTTATCTCACTCACTTTGTGTCATATGAATGACATCACTCCATTTCTTTTAAACTATGTGAATATTCAGAACATGTCTTGCTCCACTAGGTCTGTATATATAGTATGTCATGAACAATCTAGTGTGTTTTCCACGATGGATCAGTTAAAATTCTTAATTAAAATATTTCCTTGCAAAACTGTTAGGTTAGTGAACATAGCATTTTTATATACTTAATTTCTTGTTTGTCTCTCCCATTGCTGGATGCTTAAAGGGCAGAGATTTCAACTTTGTGATTCCAAGGCCTACCATGGTATCGTGAGGTCTAGTAGCGTAGTGCTTAAGGCATTTGGCTGTTAACCAGAAGGCTGGTGGTTCAAACCCACCAGCCACTCCTCAGAAGGAAGATGGGGCAATCTACTTCTGTAGTAATACTGCCTCAGAAACCAAAGGAGGGGTTGCTATGAGTCAGGTCCGACTCAACAGCACATAACAACAACACCATGGTAACGGGGCATGTGGTAGATGTTAGCTAACATTTAAATAGCTATCCTTCCAGGATTGCTGGCTACTTGGACTTTCTTCATACAAATAGGCATAAAGTACTAGAGACCAAATTAATGTGGCTGTGGTTTGTACTTCCTTTTTTTTTCATTTGTTATTGTGATTTAGGTGAAAATTTATAAAGCAATTTCATTTTCCGTGTAACAGTTCAAACACATTTTGTTTCATGACTTTGATTGCAATACTCATAATGTAACAGCTCTCTGTCCACTTCCTCCCTGTTGTTACCTTTTCCCTGTGTCCTTCTTCCTATGCATTCCTGCCCTCTGAGCCATCTCCTTGCACAAATACTGCCCTTTTTTGAAAGATAAGGCAGCTCCTTGACAACTAATTGAGTGAGAGAAAGGAAGGGTCTTTGGGCTTTTATTTCTCTCCTTCTGCTCAAAAATGATCAAACCACTAACTTTTCCCATTAAAAGACTAAATACTTTTCAAAGTGTGTAAAATCAAGTTATATGAAAATAGTCTAGCGCTTACCTCAAAACTCACAGCTCCATTGTGGTCTGTATCAAAGGCATTGAACAGAAAATGTGCGTATGTTGTAGAGTCTGAAATGGTATAAAGGGAAATCATTAAGTCAGTTGGTCAGTGTCCTACATAAGTCTCATCATATAAATGAACCAAAGTTGGCCTCTGTGTTTTCGGCCCAGGTTGTTTATTTCTTCATAATGGGCCGAGGCCTCTTAGCCCAAAAGCCCCCCAGTGCAAAGTCAAATTTTTACACATCAATTACTTTTAAAATAATGCAAAGATGGAGATGTTCAGCCACTGAGAGTTTCCCTGCCTTTTCTCCCTGTGAAAATGCACCCGACATCTGCCAGCCCTAGATAGGGTAAACCCTGTAAGGAGGAGGACCCTAAGCTGTGGCCGCCCTTCAGAGCCATCTGACCCTGAGGCTCCCCACCTTGCTGCTGAGGGACATTTGCCAAACATGTAAGCCACCCCCAGCTTCCTTCCTCTCTCCCAGAAGCTCTTTTGCCCTCTTCTTCCTCTTCTGATTTCCTGAGTCACTTGTCTATGAGAGGTCTCTGGCTGTGAGAGACTGCCCCCCTGCAAGCAAATTGTCTAGGCATTTGACCCTATAAATAGCTTGATGTGCAACAATGCTATCTTGTGTTCATACTTTTTCCTTAATCAGGCCAAACTCCTTCAAACTTGCTAAAAGTGTACAGCATGTCTAACCCTTCTTTTGATTTCTGGTGGCACAATGCCTAAGGCATTTGACTGCTAACCAGAAGGCTGGTGGTTCAAACCTACCAGCAGCTCCATAAGAGGAAGATTTACAACCTTAGTAACCATAGTGAACCAATGGGATTCCCTATGAGTCAGAATTGACTTGATGGCAGTGGGTAGGTTTTAATCCTTCTTTCATTCAGCAAGATTAAATTTTCCTTCTTCTTTAGTTCATGTTTTCTTCCCAGATGCTGATGCTCCTTCAGGAGAGAATTAGGATTTGAGATTCATAGGAATGCTTTACCTACATTATCTGTGAGTTTCCTCTGCCAGGAAATGCTTTGCACATGTGAGAGTTTTGAATGATGCTACCCAAGTAAAGGGACCAATGGTGGGGGTGAGGATTAAGTGAGCTATGTCTGTAAATGGCTTAGTTCTTGTCAGAGACTAGCTCTAGAAGTACAATAATAATAAAAACCACTGATAATGAGACAAAAATGAGTTGTTCTTATTAATATCATTGTTATGATTAGGCTTTCATGTTTTTACAATTCAGATGAGGCCACTGGGACTCCTGGAGGTTGAGAAATTTGGCCAATGTCACTTAGTCAGTAATGAGCAGACCTGGAACAATGAACTGCCATCTTGCTGATTCTGAAGACCAGGCCGGTACATAGCCAGTAAGCCTGCCTGATGGAATGGGGTTGGCAGTGAGGTGATGAATTTCCGTGGTCAGTGTGGATTTATATGCAGTAGGGAACCATTGTCTGAATGCTGGTGGCGTTTGAGGCTTTGAGGAATGGTGGATAGGTGTGGATGGCTCTCTGTCCTGATGCCTAAAGGCACTGAAGTCCTCTGACGTCAAACACTTTTGCCTAGTTTGATTCCAGCAGGGTAATGCCTCTTATTTTTCCTTCTTATCTGTTCTCCTGTATCTCATCTACTCTCTAATCTCTGAGCTTCCTGACTTTTCATTATAAAAGTATATATTTTTTCCTTATTGTTTCATTTTCTTAATGCGCAGCTTTCATTTTTAAGCACTCTTGTCCTCAACCCTTGATCAGATTTACAGGACTTTTTAAATGTTTTTCTCATGGGTTTTAGCCTTTTATCTTAACCTTTTTTAATCTTAAAAAAATTATATAACCTTTCAGCTCATTGGCTCTAGCTTATTACCTTCGATCTAAGATCTCATCTATTTCTATCTTATAACATTTAACCTTTATTTTTATTGGGATTTAACAAAACATCTATTCTCCTCTCACTTTTTGAAGTGCTTTTACAAAAGCTGCCAAGAAGCTAAGTCATAGCAGTGGGAGTAGAGAATTGCTTTCCTCAAATAAGAGAAGACAGACATCGTCCAAACTTCTTGTCCAACACAGGCACCCACAGCTTTCTTATGGATTGTTTTTCCCAAATGCTTCACCCCACTGGTTAGTACTACATACATTTCATGAAGTAAATTGTACACTTGGTTTCTCAAAATCATGTTTTTTTTTTTTTTTTTTCTGTCTTGGAAAAAGTACAGTCAGAATGCTCCTTAGAAATGAGGATGGTGAGACTTTGTCTTTGTCTCATGTTCTTGGGAAGGACTACTCCCCGGAGAAGGACATCATGTTTGGTAAAGTACAGGATCAGTGAAAAAGAGGAAGAACCCCAATGAGATGGATTGACACGATGGCTGCAACTATAGTCTCAAGCATAACAATGATTACGAGGATGGTATAAGACCGGTAGTGTTTTGTTCAATTGTACATAGGGTTGCTATCAGTCAGAACCAACTTGATGGCACCTAACAACAACAACATTTTCTTTCATCTCTCATCTCAGAACATGATATGAGGATCCTTTAATTTTAAACATAATTAATTATTATAACTGTTTCCAATAAGGTAATCAGGCACCACAAATTGGATCTAACTAATACATGAAACAGTTATACCTACAATGGACGTCCACCCCATATTGATGTTGTTGGAGGAAGAAATCTTTTGGGATAAGGACCAGTAGTTAAATTATAGTCAACTTTGTGCAATTGTTGGGCAGTTCCAGTATAGAGTTAATAATAATAACTAGTAGCCTATGTTTATTTGCAAGTTATTTTGCTTTCGATAGTGCTTTTCACAGACTTTCTGAACTACTTAGTGCCCTATGGAGATGTGAGTTTATAGGTGGTATGTTAAACTTATTTTAGGGGAAGAAAGAAAGATTAGGTTTTGCATATTTTATAATGAGCTTCATTAAGCAAGTCTCTTGTGACTGTTTATATAATCAGGTTAAATGCCTTTACCTTAGCAAGCAATACTCACCATGAATAATAGCTCAGAACAAATGACGTTTGCAAGTTTTTAAAATTTAACAACAGGATATCATGGGCATATGATAATGACTACTTCCCAAATGGAGTTGCTCCAGCTTTAAAGTTTGACACATGGGAAATAGGCTCTCAAGCTTTCAGCTAATGTGAGACAGAGGACTTCTTGTCAGTCTAAATGAAACTTGACAATTATCCTGGAAGTTAAGCCAGTTTTCCAGGCTAGATAAACCATGAAGACAACCTCCATTTATAATATTGGATCTAGAATCATCTACCTTATTTTAAATTTCAGCTAACAAAATATTAACCATGTGATCATGCTCCATGTGACTCAATTTCCTCATTTACAAAATGAGAACAATACCAATATGTTCTTTATAGAGTTGTCATGAACATTAAATGATATACTATATGCAAAGAGTTTAGAGTAGTCCTAGTCCTAGGCAGTGTTCAATAAATATTAGTGGTTTTATTATCATTTCATAGATAATCCACTCTTAGTCCAACTACCAGAAGGAAATGTGATAATTTTTTTGTATACATGTAATATATCTTCACCTTAAAAATTTCACAAAAAGTGTTGTGAAGTCTCTATTGTGTATATAAGTGAACTTGTTGCAACTTCATACTCAATAAAGTCCAGTATAATTATATCATGAAAGGCTCTGAAACTTTTGATGGAGGCATCTGGAGACACGGAAAACCTTTAAAGAAGGGGAACGTAGCCACTAGAGGCAGGATCGAAGGCACTGGAAGCATCTGGCTTGGCCCCACAGGTGCACATAGTAAAGAAAACAGAAGCTGTCATAAAACCATCCACAATGTGGCTTCACCTGGCTGTCTTCTTTTCAAACTCAAAACCAAGCTCATTGCCATCAAGTTGATTCCAACTCATAGCAACCCCCAAAATAAAAGAGATTTCCAAGGCTTTAAATCCTCATGGAAGCAGACTGCCTCATGTTTCTTCTGTGGAGAAACTGGTGGGTTCAAATCAACGTCCTTTTGGTTAATAGCCACATGCCTTAACCACACCACCGCCAGAGCTCCTTATCTTCTTAGGTACTCAGTTATATTTCTTGAGAGGATGAATAGTTGGTGTGCTGGATTCTCAATTTCAGTAGTTCATATCTCAAATCATGCAACAATGATCCCTTTCCCTCTACACTACTGGATGATATTCTTTGGTCACATTTTCTTAAACAATATACAATTAAACAAACCTCCACCAACAACAAAACCCTAACTAGATGCCATCAAGTCAATTCCAACGCACAGCAACCTCATGCGTTCAGAGTAGAATGGCCCTTCACAGCATTTTCCATGGCTATGATCTTTTGGAAGTAAGTTGCCAGGCCTCTTCAAAGGTGCTTCTGGCTAGATTTGAGCTGTCAATATTTTGGTTAGTAGTTGAGTGCTTTACTGTTTGTATCACTTACACACTCAAACATCTTTACATAGTGCTTAAGGCATTTGACTGCTAACCAGAAGGCTGGCAGTTCAAACCCACCAGCCATTCCTTGGAAGGAAGTTTGGGCAATCTACTTTCGTAGAGATACTGTTTCAGAAACCCGAGGAGGGGTCACTACGAGTCAGATTCTACTCAAAGGCAGTGACTTTGTTTTCTTTTTTTCTGATTATAACAAAGGTAAATGCTGATTTAGATATAGTGAGATTGCCTTAGTTTCTTATAATTTTAATTGTGAGGTTGACAAATATTGACATCTTATATAAGGATGAAAGTTATGAATTTGTGTGATAGGACGAGAGCTCTAAGTTAACCTAGTTAGTTGATAATAGAATTGGTAATGAAATCAAGACATCCCAACACCAACTGATGGTTCATCTGGCCAGACTCCCATATATTATAGAGAAAACATCTTGAGGACCAAAGACATAAACCACTTTAGGCCATACCTTAGTGGTAACAGAGTTACTTTAACTCAGGACTCTCGATTGAGTCCAGTATTCTTAATCTACCCTTTTCCTGACTACAGAGATGAAACCAACTAAGCTCTTAACTGAAGAAGCCATTGCTACACATACATGTTAGAATATTTG